GAGAGAGAGAAAGAGAGAGAGAGAGAAGGCGGGAAGAAGGGAGAAAGATGAGAGATTTGTGCGTTCAAAGCAACGGGACTTGTCTCTCGCGAAGGGACTGAGAACGACCAGAGAGCTAACATACAGATATGGCGGCGACAATGGGCCCGTTTGTACTTTGTAGCGCGTTCCTAATTACCCCTCCCCCCGCACAATCTCCACGACGGCGGACACCCTGCGAACCCTTTGAGATCGCGGAAGGACCGTGAAAGTGGATTATGCAACGATGGCGAGGGGAAGAAGCACGCGTACTTGATGCACCGAGACCTCCCTCTCTCAAAAACATGTGGCTTTGACAATGATAACCTTAGTAAGCGATTATAGTCAAAGGAACCGCGTGCGCTACGCTCGTTTCAGTTCTGCCGTTGAAAGGATTTATGCAGTTTTTTTACTAGTTTCGCGCGTACAAATTCGCACAAATGTATTTAACTTGTTTTCATTCTGCGGTTCAAAACGCGTGTATTAAATTTCTTCTTAATCAATTAATTGCATCATTTAATAGCTTGTTGAAAGCACATAATTAGATCCTTTATATTTTCGAATAATATTTTCACAGTCCACCTTGAAACTCATAAAACTATTTGCAGAAAAGAAATTGCGAGAAGCGATACGAAAATTATAATGCACATGCAATTTCTGCGATGCAATCTATATTGACGTTTTTGTCGCACAGCGGCGTACTCGAGTAGAATTTTAATTACCATTCGCATTCGTTTCGAAGTATTCTTACGCGGGAGTGTCGTGCCCGGTCGTCTGAGAATGCAGCGGCTGCCGCTTCGTTTTTCCGTCGTCAGGCGGGCCCGCGGATCACGCAGCGGCATAGCGCGAATTCTTGCGGAATTTTTGCGGTTCGTCCGTTCGAATCTTATCAACGGAGTAAATTCTGCGAAACGTCGCCGCCGAAAAGTTCCGCCAGACGCAAAAGCTTCGTTACCGAGATGGGCCGATCTCCCTCTTTTGCCGCGCTTCTAATTAAATAACAACATAATTCACCGTCTTACATTAAGACAATTAAATAACGTTTAAGATTCAACGGCGGCGGCTGCTTTTCCATTATACCGCCATTGCCGACGGGGCTTCCCTCCGCCAGGATCTTACGCTTCAACCTCTCGTTCTCCGTATCGCAAACCTCCCCTCCGCCATAAGTCGTCTCCGCTCTCGTCGGACCGTTTTATGATTTTAATAAGAGTTCTTTTATTTCTCTGTCAATAGTGGAGAGCGTTTCAGCTTAGCTTTCAATTTCGTTGAAACTCTCGCGTTAAAATTTCGCAAAGTACGAGTCCGTTATCATAATTCGTGCTAAAATCACCGTTAAGCGAACCATTTTTGCGCGAATTGCATTTCTGTTGTCGTCGTTAAATAAATTAATTTCAATGTTTGTTTCGCGTTATCGCGCGAAAAGCAGAATAACAGTCGATCGTTTCGCCGCTTATCGTCTACTTCACGGCGTCGATATAATCCCCGCTTGTCATTCTCGTTACGTTGTCGTCTAAATAGTAAACAAATTAAGCGGCCCGCTCAGGCTCGACCGCAAATCTGGCATCGCAATTATTGCACCCAGCCGGCTCGCACGCCGCCCGTGTACATAAACGGGATTTTCAAACTCGTCCATGTGAATTGATTCGTCGTGACACGCGAGGGGTAAAATCGCGATTATGCCAATCAACAATGAAGCTTGTCCACATACCGGTCGCACCGGTGGCACCGGTTACGGCCGTTAATTCGATCCCTGCGTCAATAAATCCGTCAGGCAAGGATCATTCGAAATATTAGCTTTGAGCCGTCATCGCTTCTATCAACAAGACAGCGGACAGCGGACTTTCATTGCGCCACCTCTAAATACTTTATCTCTCGCAATAGCTTTTAATCATAAATCAAATTAACCATAAATATGAAATAAAGTGTTCGACAATATAGATGCAGTTAAATCGCACGAGTTTCATGAAACAAACAGCATAAGCGGACAGTGAACTAGTTATAATTAATTCAAATTGCGGTGAATAATTTTCATCAACGCTATTTGCATTTACATTGCACGTTTAAACGCTGAATATCGCCTCCGACGTTTACATCCCACATTTACATCGTTCGTAATCAGCAAGCATCCGCAATGTTTAACAATTTCTTCGCTCTAATTCAGGCAAGTCTCATACCATGCTGGGAACCCCGGAGGCTGGTCATACACTGGGCGCAATCCCCTGTGCAATCGCGTGGCTCTTCCGTGGAATTTCCGAGCAACGTCAGAGAACCGGCGCCAGGTTTAGCGTCAGGGTCAGCTGCGTGGAATTGACCACCGGTCAGCAACAATTGAGGGACCTGCTTGCGGCGCACGCAAACGGTAAGTAATCTTTCAATTACGAAAAGTATCCACGCGCGAAAAAGTTCGGTCTTTTTGTTCACGATACTGCTAACTAATTAAGATCCATTTATCATTTATCAATTTCCCGCCAGTTGTATTTGCTACAAGTGGATTATAAGTATTTGTCTTTGCCGTTTGGAAGCGTTAGAAATCTCTATCGCGACCTGGGCAAAATTAACTATAAATAAATTAAATATCTGATAAAATTTTAAATGAGATAAAATTATGAAAGTACTAAAAAATAAACAATACACTGATTTAGTATCTCGCGTTTTCATCGGAGTGAACCGCAGTCAAACTTATGCGGCTTTTCGTCGAAGAAACTTGCGTGCTCTAAGAATCACTTATCTCGGACTATCCTCCCTTTTAAGGGATAGAAGGGAAGTCTCTTTCGAGACAGGCCTTTCGAATCGTCTCTAACCTCCGGAGCGCGACTGAAACTTTCTCGAGCGTTTTCGCTTCCCCGCGATAGAGGGTTCAGCGTTTCCCGCAATTAATTCGGTGCCTCGAAACAATGCGGCCAGGTATAATCGTTTAGATTAATTAATGCAAAGAGAGAGAGAGAGAGAGAGAGAGAGAGAGAGAGAACGCGGCACGGCAGGCGAATTGTGTCGTCGTGCCGACGCCGTATTACACCCGATATATAATCCTTCGCGCGGTAGCTCCACTGATTTTCAGATCATGGTTCTAATCGCATCCAGACGCCGGGATTTAACCTAAGGATTCTCGCGTAATCGGAACTAATGCGCGGCTACGACAAACGCACTTATCAATCAATATATTCGTGTCAAACTTGTCGAAGTGTTTAAATGAAATTTTCCATTTACAAGATCTTTACAAACTGCACGTAAAATGCTAAAAATATCATGAACCTTTTATATTAGATCAAAGTGATTTCGAAGCTATATAATTGTTTTATATTAAATGATATTGGAGTAACTTTATTGCAATATATAAGATAACACTGCAAAATGAATCTGTAGAATGAATATTTTTCGCTTTCTAGAAATGATCAAAAGAGGTATCTTTATGGAAATACAAACATTTCGCGGCTGTGATCGAGCTTAAAGACAGCACGGTCCGCCTGGGGCCGCGTCGCGTACGGAATTCCACACGGAAATTGCAATAGCTTGCACGTTCCATTTGTCTGATATGCGCATTTGCCCGAGTCGGGCTCCGACGTCTCCAAATCGACCAAAACCGGTCGTGTGGATGGTGCTCGAAAGCAGGGACCGTCGAAATTGTCCTCTCTCGATCGGGAATGATGCGCGGAGGATGCCGCGGTAATATTCAGGAAGTGGGACGAGACTCGCGATATTGGTCGCTATTTGGTTTCGTCTTCACGAACGACGTACCGAACGACTTGGTCCGTAAAATTGAGGGACAGAATTATTTTCTTCCCCTACTTCACGTTGACCATCGCCCATCTTCCCCTTCACGTTTGTTATCTGCTTTTTGTGCCATGCATCTCAAAGAATCGCCAAGGACTCGCTGGGCTAATAAAGAGTCGTTTCTTCGGAGGGTAGATTGCTATGGTGCACTTATGGGAATGATCGTCAAAGGTCGTCAAGAACATTGCTCCGAAAATTAACTGGGTTGCCCGCTCTGGAAACATCTTCCTACTCGCTTCAGAAATGGGCTCTATAAATTTGCGCAATATCTCTCTGATGTCAGGCATTACGCGAGGTTATGATCCAGTTATAGATCATCTGAACATACGATTCAAATAAAGATTTTTAATTTGATCTTTCGCGTTGTGAACTTTAATATTCTCCCTCTTCTATTCTGTTTCAATTATATATTAATTGCAGAAAAGTTTGAAAAAGTCAGAGAAATTTTTAATTATCAAATTGATTATCAGTATAGAATTTTTTTCAGAATTTTTGATAGCAATAAACAAATTAACATATTTTTTATATTTGTCAGGTTTTTATAACGTTCTGAAATAGCGAGTCCGGAAATTTGCCACGGCGATTCGAATGCGCACATCTCTCGGGCACGCTGAAATTTAATTTTCTGCCATGTCGCGAAACACTCCTGGGGACTTTACAGTCATGAAAATTAAGACGTTTATTGCTGTTACCGAATGCTCTGAGCATGTGCGATTCGCGCGTTCCGCGCGTAAAACTCGCGTTAGACGCGTCGTTTCAATGCTAGCTTAACGACCGCTCGGAGCGGATCTTTCCGCTTTTCTCGCTCTCGGGACTAATCAAGATGCGACGAGATTAATTTTCCAGCTTATTAAATAATTAGCTCGTATCTATGGAATGGTCTTGACTTTCTAAATTCTTATCTCTTCCTGTTTTGATCATTATTTCCTTTTTCCCTTTTTTCTTTCTCACCTTCTGCATCTTATTTTAACGGAAGCTCAGTAGCAATGGTGTAACCATAACGTTTGAAGAGTCCACTCGCACTGAGGATTCCTTTGTTTCGAACTTGAGATAAAAATAATTTTTCACTTTTCAGAATTGCACAGTAATTTTAAATAAAAACGTGAAAAAATGTAAACGCATACAAAAAAACCATTTCTAATTAATCATTCTTTTTGTTATCTTTTTATTTTCTCTTCTGCCGTCTATTCGTTTATCCTCTTTTCTTTTTCCTTTCGTTCTCGTATCTTTTTCTATCTTTCTTTCACTTTGCAAGGACATTAGTTACGCCACTGCCGGGTGCTGCAACCAGCGCGTTCTTCGCTCAAGATTTAAGTCGAGTAGCAGCACCCTCCAAGTCCGCGTTTTCCCCAGCGAACTTGATAATCCCGCCCGGTAATTATTTAAAGTTTTCGACGGTCTGGATGTTACGCGAGTGCCGCCGACGGAAAGGGGAGAGAGTGCTTCTGAGCAAAGGTTTACCTTTGTTACTTCTAACTATATGCAATGGAATATTTAATTAAGCTTACGCCCTAATGCAATAATTGCGGCAACTTGCGGTGGAATATTTAACACTTAACCGAGCTTAAAACTAGAGTCGCTACTTCTTCGCACCGGGTGTCATAAATGAATGCATTCGTGAATAAATAACTTGGTTCTTTGTCGATTTATATTTGCTGCGCGCTGCATTGCAAAATATAAATAGAGGCTCCCATTTAATTTAAATGTGAGTGTTTAATATTAACATTATAAACGTCAGTACAATTTTTTTCCATTAGTACATGAATCAGTAATGTAAATATCGAGTTGCTCAAATGGTTACTAAAAGCGTATTTACTAGTTTATTATATTCAATATGGCTTTATATTAAATTCAAACTGCTATTGAAAAAATCATCAGACAAAACACAATTATTTTTCTCTCCCCACAAAAAAAAAAACCCTTTCGAAGAATATATATTTATAGATCATTCCAGTTCCTGCCACTGACTATTTAATAACATGAGTATTTCGTGACATCCAGCAGTTATCTGCAATTGAGTCAAATATTTGCAATAACATTGTAGTGCGTGGAATAAATAATAAACGTGCCAATGAATAAATCAATCGAATGCATAATATTACATAAGCATGAGAGAAAACCAGCAATATGCATTCGTAAATATATTATATCTCGACCAATCTGCCTACACAAGTAAAAATCATTTTCTTTCGAACGAAGCAAAATAATTCCAAGTGTTAATCCCAATTGTCTATCAGCCATTTATAACCCATGTTTCTATTCGCGAGAAATTGGAATTAAAATCTTCAAGTGATGAATGATTTTAGATTGAAAATTTTTCGTATCGCAGAACATTTGACGATACATGGAAATATCAACCAAAATTCGAGATTCACCACTAAGCCGACCATTGTTTCGTGGATGTTCGATTACACGAATTGTTTGTTAATACTCAATTTGGCCACTAACCATCGCCGATCGGAATACTCACGATACCAATAACCGCGATACCGCATCGACTAGATAGCACAGAAAGTACAACAGCTAAACTATCAGCGTTGCCATCTCTGGACTTCGATCAAATGATTTCTAAGGCTATGGATAACAATCACGACGCATTGTAACAAAGCGATATATCGTAAATCGGTACAAATGAAATTATTATATCTCCATTCTTTATTTTTAATTTATTTTATGTTCTTTTTTATTATTTTTATATTAATTTTTACATTGTCTCATTACTAAAAAATAATAAATAAAAATGAAATAAAAATAAAATTTCTGCAATTTTTTCAATATAAAACAATATAATAAATTCTCTTTGAAATGAAAAATATATTTCATATTTAACAGTTTAAAAAATTCAGCCTGTTACAACTTGTCCCACTTTTCGTAAACTAAATCATTTTAATTGTTAAAAGATGTGAGTTTTATTTTTCAATTGTACTTTAGGGTTACTCTACGCGCGGACCGACTTAAGATCATCGTGATCGTAACTGGCGGTTTGCCGTGTACTTAAGGCAGAAAAGGCGGGTGCCGTTAAAGTGCCGAATGGTGGAGCGGGGAAGGCATGTCGTTTCCGAAACGGCCGTAAGTTTCTTTCCCCACAGGAAACTCGGTCACAGTCCATTGCTCGGCGCCATTTATTCGGAAGCCACTCGGTACGTAAGGCGACGGTTTTCTTTAATTGCTCGTTGCACAATAGATCTGGCGGCCTATCCCCCCGTGAAAGTTTGCGGGAATGCTTGCGGCGAATTATCTCCTAATGGAGAAGGGGACTCGCGCTAAATTCCACGATTGTGGAACGATAACAAAATGCGCAGTCTGTAAAGAAATTAAAATATCCGATGCGCAAATATGCGCATGCAACGCGAATGCCTTTACACGAGCAAAAAAGGAACGACGAATCAGGAATTAATGTAATAGTTTCAACTGCGAGTGCAGCAAAGTTCAGATAAATGGAGCAAGCTGGATACTGTATTTACTGCTAACTTTCAAAAAAAAGAGGAAACGATAAATGTACGGCATTAAATCAAAACTCTAGTTTATATTAAAAGTTCTCCCAACTTTCGGTACAAAAATAAAGTCAGCGACTAAACGAGCACCCCT